GAGTTTACTATTTTTTTTTAATTTATTTTGCTCATGTAAAAGTTAGTTTGTTTTGAAACTGTACTATAATGATTCCGCACTATACGAGGTACGGCTTCGATCAGTTACTGTATATTTTTATGGAAATGACTATGTTTCATGTATCGTCTAAGTATGTAAAGATATCTCATGAATTAGCTTATATTAAATAATGTATTAGAATGAAGATCAATTAACTATTTTCAGATAAAAAATGATAATATTTAAATATTATCCGTTATATTTATATAAGGGTGCTAAGTAGTTTACAATATTATATAATAAATATGTATTATATTTGATTTATTTATTATGTAGACACCAGAGTTGCTTCCATGTAATGTAAGAAAAATTACAGTTATTATTTACAGTTATAAAGTTCTTACTTGATATATTACATAATAAATGTTAATCATACTTCATTCATTGAATAATTATTTGTCATGTACATATATATGGTAATCCAGATATATGTTAGCTTGATTTACATCTTTAATGTGCAAAAAATACATCGTTCTACAATGAATACAATAAAGAACGATTGTACACTGAGACAAAGTGTATTTTTATAGCTATATAATTGACTATGAACAATAAATTATGTAATTTTAATTGGTGTAAAGTAATAGCTTTTCTTAATTATAATTCTGTCTATCGAATTGATTAAAAAAACCAAATATATCAATTTATGAAATAATTTATAAAACAAAAATTAAATCTCAAATAGTAAAATAATTATTGATGACTGTTTGATAATAGAAATAGTGATTAATTCATGAATTTTGCATGTAATAGAGAATGCACACATAATGAAATCTTTTAAAGTAATTTCCAATGAAATAATTACAAAATTGGTTCATAGAAAATGGTAATAAATATTAATTCGCTCGCAATTTGCAATAGAAAGGAAATCCTGTTAATAATTTTCTAGCCCGAAGCGTGTGCCTGATAATATGCATTCAACAGATATTGGTACATTCTATTACTATGTATTCGCCAATTCTAGATTTAAACCTATTCATAAAGAAGTTTTACGTGAAATATTAAATAATATTCAGATAAAACAGACAATGTTAAAGTCATTCATTTCATTAAAGTGTAAACTAACTTTCTCCAAGTAGAAAATGAAACTACAGCCAGATGCACCACTTCATTTGTTACTTTTTTGAATAACAAACTATGTATGCGCTCCGCTATTTCTTTGTTATTACAGATAATGAAAGCGAATTGTTAGATAACAAACAATATGTTTTTCTTTGCTTGTAAAATTAATGGACTGCAACATTTAATCACCATACATATTTTGAATGCAATGCATATTTAAGCTATTTTTATCAATAGATTAGGAAATAGTCGAACGCAAACACATTTTTAATTTAGCAAGTAGACAAATACATGAGGCGAAGAATAAAAAAAAATTGAAACAGTTTAGATAGGTCAGTGTAAAAAGTCGTAGTTCTTGTTTTTTGTTCTTCTCCAAACTTATTTAATGGTTACATGAGATGCGGACGACGAGGATACATTTTTCACAACTTATATTACAAAAGTTGCACAGGAAACAGCGGTCATAAGAAATCACAGAATTATGAAAGTTTTCTAATCTTTTACTCGGGGGGACTGAAAGAGGTGCGGAGCAGCACATTCACAACTTTCAAACAGATCTTATTTACAAGTATTATAAGCACGAAATAATATTCCGTTATGTTAATGAAATTTATTTCGTGAATATTTAAATTTTTGTTTTTGTTTAAAACAAATATTATATGTTCACTAAAAAAAAACTTATTGAAATTCTTGCGTGTTTCCAATTCGTTTACGTTAAAAAATATCTTGGGTCATTGAACTAATTGCTGGAAACGTTTATAAAAAAAAAATATATATTTCATTAATATTTATGAAAAAACGAATGGTATCATTATTTAAAATTCTATGTTTACATGCATGAGAAATGCGAAAAGATTAATAATATACATTGATGGGAATAAAAAGTGAGCACGTGTTTTGTTAGAACTTTCCATACTATATTTAACGAAAAGCTATAATTGCTTAAGTGCTCTTACATAACGATACGGCGTTTCATTGTTTTATTTTTGTTGTAACCGCATTTGCAAAATCTTATCTATAGTTAATACAAAGAAAAGTATCTACACGCTTCATATGGATTTATTTTGTGACGGTAGTTAAATTATACAAAGATTAAACAATTAAGTGCATAAATAAATCAGTTCGAGCTGATGTAATATTTCTATTTTCCGTTGATTTCTCAATGAAGATGGCAAGTGCAAGTCCAATAAATAAAATAGGATTAACTTTTCATATATACGTATCTCTCTAGTGAAAGATTTTACGTGGCAACGGTTTAATCTAGTGAGATTTACGGTTGCTGGCAACTAAATTATTTACACTGCAAAAATTACTCAACTTATTTATATGCACTTAACGAATATAGTCTATATTTTGAACAATTGTTAATTAATTGGCGACTTTAAGTCACAACAAACTAATTTCGATAAATTCGCCAGACTTGAGAAAACAGATTTTTTTTTATTATATCTTTTTAATGAGCGCACATCTTCAATTTCACTAAGTGGTACTTCAGTCTGGGCGTATTTACGTGAATATTGATGAACGGCAGTTGTTTTGATATTCTACAAGTGTTTTTTTCTTCTTCTTCTCTTCAGAAATGCGAATATATGAATGAATAGTGGTTTAATTCAAGCAACGTAAATCAAGATATTTTCATAATATCCATCTCTTATCTACGTTTCAACTTTTTTTTTCTAACTCAATAAATATACATGTTTTGAGTGCGTAGCGAAAAACGCTGATAATTACGTTAGACATATAAATGGAAATGTCATCATATGTTTATTTTTTAATGTAATGTAGAAGTTGTCCAATATTTACTTGCAACGTTAGATCGATAACAGATAAAGCAACGTTCCTTAAAGTGTGATACTCTTATAATATTTCAAAGGAGTTCAAAGGTTGAATATTTCTTATTTAGAGTTATGCCAAAACATTGAGATAAATGATTATATAATAATTTCTGTTTTATCCACCTCAGGGATTTACTTTAATGACAATTTAACAACACATAATAATCAATAACAATTAAACAATTTAATAATTAAAAGAATTATTACATATATTAGAAAATTCTCATTCATTTAAAATGAATTAAAAACATGATGTAAGGTGATAAAAATGTGATAATTACTTTGATTCAAAACAGTCATATGATTCAAAAAGGTTGTTTGACGGAAAAACCTAAATTGAACAGGCAAGGTTACTATAGTTTGAGTCACAATTAAAGATCAGATTAATTGCTCAATTAATGATAATGTTAATAATGAATGAATGTAACTTGTATACATGAAATGAATGTAATATAATTTATTTGCGTGCATTTATCTGGTCTTAAATTGAGTTTGCTGTAATTGAGAATACTTCAGACTGTAATAATAGCAAAATTGGAATTATCGTATTACTACGTACAGCTCGAGTTATGGCTATACTCTGAGCGAGTAAAACACGCTTGATTAACTGATTCGATTCCAGTAACAAGATTTAATAGAGAAAGTACGGTAGGAAATCGTTGCAATCTTCGTTTCATTCCACGCCAATATTAACATTTCTTTATAAAATTTAACCGCTTGGTAAATATTGAAACGAATCAAAAAATTAACCGGTGATTTTATAACAATAAAGAAAAAACGTGATGTATTTTCTTTTTTGCATACACATTAAATCAACACTTTCTCTCAGGAAAAACTTTTTTTTGTATTGGAATCTGCAATGCTTTTACTTTTATACGTGTAATTATTACTTATCGATTTTTCGCCTGATGCGTTTGTATCAAACGTTTAATTGTGATCCCCTTTCTTTCTCTGGTTCACCATAAACCAGTCGGCGCAATCTTTACGATTCTGTTTATAACTTTCACGAAGGTCCAGACTATAAATTACTAAGTGAAAAAAAAATATGTAAATACAACAACAATAACCAATAGCACGATTTTTATAGCATGCGAATCATTATAAATAATTCCATCTTCGTTTATGCGTTTTTCCTTCAGGATACAATTATGATACATGGCCTTTCCTATAATTCAATGCTAACATTCAAGCAATTAATTTCACTTGTTTTTTTTATCATTGCATAGTGTTGAACATCTTTTAATCGCAGTTTTTCTTTTTATTATTCAATAACAACAATTATATTAGATTCGCATCAGTTTTCAGATTAGTTTCTAAGTCGTATTATAAATATTATTACAGAGAATTGTTTCAAATTTAGTTTAAAACAAAAATTATAATAGCAATTATACGATTTTGTAATTATTATTAATAATAAATTGTTTTAGTTATGTAATTTCGATATTACTTATGTTCTTGTATTATTTATCTTCTTGTTGTTGTAAAATAAAAATAATTTAATTGTAGAAAGATTATTTTGTTATTTTAGTATATTATAATAATGACCAAATCATGCGATTATATATTTAGTTACATAATTTTAATCGAATTACTTAAGTTAATGCTTTATGATGCGGTCGATGGCCCTTGTATTTGCTGTTTCTTAATGAAGACTATTGTTATTATAAATATCGTTAACAATAAGAAAGTATGTAGTTTTACGATCAAATTAATCGATATTTTTATTTGAAATCTATTGAAATAAAATGAACATTTATGTTAGATATTTTTTTGATTTTACAAAAATTTAAACATTTATTTCGTTACTTTTTGTCGTTACTGTTTTTTAAAGACTAACTAAAAATGGAATATGTACTTTCTTGACTAGTTTAACTATGAAGTTTCTTTTTTTGTTAAGTGGATTTTGTTGCAAGTAACGATTAGAAAGTTACTTTTTGAATTGGAAATGAAATTAGTGGTAGTTTTTTGTTGCAAATTTAAATGGTTGTGGATGATGTGAATTAAGTTGGAAATGGGATATAATTATAAATGGTAATAACTTACTTTATAACTGTTTGTTTAACACTGGAAGTCATGATTGAATCCACTGCAACTGCAGTTTGTTGTCACTTGAGGTAACGAGTTTAAGAAGTGTTAATGCGATCACCAAAAAATTAATTAATAAAAGAAGCTATGAATTCCTCTTATTGGACCATAGTAGTCAGAAGTATCAACGATATCAGCGGTTTATCGGTTCTGAGCCCGCGGATCGACTGATCAACTCACGAACAGTCCCTATATAAGAGTACATGCCCCACTCCGGCTGCCTTTGGATAGACCGTCCAAAGCGTATCCTCCTTCTACCGTATACCTATGTATATGTCTTCTAGCCTTTCTTCTTCTTCCTGCTGAAAATACTAAAATTCTCACGTGAGACTGTTCGGTCTCCTATTTCTATGTTTGAATCTATATTGTGCACACTTTTATCGGCAAACCGCATTTCTTTAATTCACACTATCAACCTTGCACTTTTACACCTCTTTTATAGCCAGTGATAAAATCGCGGGAATAATAAATTTCACCGCACCGGAAAGTTTGGTTCAATAACATAACTAACAAAAAGTAATAGGAAAGAACCTCACGAAAATCGCTGTTGGTCTCAAAACCGAAACTTCCTATTAAAAACTTATCCTTGATTAGCCGCAACACGTATTTGCATGCGTAACTATTTCATGGAAAAACAAAAAATACCGCATTAAAAAAAAAACAACAAAAAGTTTTTTTTTTCAACAAAATATATAATGCGTAAATTTTTATTTTCTTTATTATAGAATACACGTGGATCGAAATATAAAACACACATTTATTATTAAACATTTGATTAAATTGTTTGAATTACTTTCAGAAATATTGTATTTATATTATGTATAGCAATGAAACAGATTTCACTTGAAAACCACAACTTTTTTTTTTAATTTACAATATTTCAAAACGATTTAATACGATTCTCTTTTTAAGAGTATTGTGTCTATACACTAAACCAGTGGTGGGCAAATTTATTAGCTACATTTGAACATTACAAAAAATTTAAAAAAAAATTGGGAGCCAAATCTGCTTGTTTAGTAAACTTTTATTACACTAAATAAGTAGTACACTAAATAAAACTAAATTTCATATTTAATAAATATTTATTAATGCCAATTATTTCTTAAATCATAGCAACTATTGCTATATATTTATACTTAAATGAAAGACAAATAATCACACATTAATTTGATTATAAAATCATCTTTCTGATATTTACAGTTTCATTACAAAATTGATAAAAATGAATTTGTTATTAATGGAAATGCAACACTTCTAATTATTAATAAATATTTCTTAAATCATAGCAACTGTTACTATATATTTATACTTATATTAAAGACAAATAATCACATATGTGCTTGCATCTCCTTGGAAAGTTTGAGTAAGTCAGGTTTGTATGTTGTTGTGCCTCCGTGGATATTTGTGCCAGAGAGCCAAAGAGCCAAATGCGGCTCTGGAGCTTTACTTTGCCGACCACTGCACTAAACATACACCTTAACTATCAGGTATTAGCTGTTATCTACATATTATCTATCCTTTTCGTAGTTGTTAAAAGTTAATAATAATTAAACGATTATTATTTAAATTAGTTACAATTCTCATAGAAGTAACTTAAAAAAAATGATTTTATATATGATTCATTTGTTTTAGATAAGATAACGAGGTAGATGTAGCTAATATAATTAACAACATAAATAATATGTAATTGTATAACGTTTTTTTAAAAGATTCAACTAAGTAATAAGTGTTTATAATAAAATAAACATATTAATAAAACGTATTATATTTTAATAAATATATATCTATTACTCGTAATTAGTGTACAGAAATACCTCGTATAGTGCAGCTTCAAACAGTCCGGATTAAACAAAAGTAAATTAAAAATAATGAGTTTTTCTGTATAAATCTTTTTTTAAAGTCCTTAATTGGTGCGGTTTCAAACAGTGCGGGATATTGAAGGAACCGAGCCATATGAGGTATTCCTGCATTTACAAGTAGTAAGATTAGATAAGTTAAGTAGAACAATATAATGGACGTAGAACTTGGCTTCTGTTAGAAATAATAAGAAAATTTATAATTTTTACCAAAGTTAATTTTTAAAAATATTCACAGTTCTGAATAATTTTGTGCGTATTTTCAGAATCTATGATTTATTTATTTCAAAAACAAAAAAAAATCATATATTTTAATCTGGGACGACTAATAGCCGAATGGTTAAGTCGCCCTACCCACGATTTCGTGCTCAAGCCAGGCCCAGGTTCGAATCCTGGTCAAGCCAGGTCCTTTGTGAGCCCTCTCTGTGCTTTCAGCAATAGTGTCATCGTCCATCACAGATGGACAGTGAAATGAATGAGGTTAAGACAATGACAGTGTTAAGGATTGCAGCAGATTCACAGTTAAAGGAAATAGTGGAATCGCAGAGCATCAATATACTACTGACGTTAACCTACAAGACGACAGCCAACCAACAAATTAAAAATCTAAAAAAATCATCATAATGGTAACTGTCGACCGGGAAAGATTACATACCTAATGTCAACTGCGATCTTAAATTTACTCAATTGATGAACAGATTGTGAATAAAATTAGACGACATAAAAAAATATATTTTAATCTAAAATTACATTATAATACATTTATAAATAAGATATTTCCATTATATAAACTTAATTAAATTTTTAATCATTTAAATGAAAATATTTCTTTATAGAATGTGTACAATAAATTATGTTTATGTTTATCGTGTGCTACGATTTAAACCGTATTTAAGAAAAGTTCAAATATAATTTGTATACTATTTATATGTTAACAAAAATAGTAATAATATTCAACATACATTAATTATGTTCAGTTGCCGTTTACGTAATTGCTTCACGTATAGTCATTATTCATATAACTAATTAGTGCCTATCGGTAGGTTTAATAGTTAAGGTTATATCGTTTTAAAATAATAACATTTTCGTCATCATAGATCTGAAAAATATAGGAAAGTTTCAAAGAAAACACTGTGAAAAAGTTAAAATAATCAATAAGATATTTAATGAGCATTAATAATAATATTGAATACATACATATGAAATTAGAAAACTCTTACTATCTTTTAATATTTGTACATTTATGGAATAGAAAATGTAAAAAATTTGTTAATTATCAACATAATTCTATAAATAACGATACTTGACAAATAACAAATAAACTAATTATCTGTTTCTTATCCATTTTCAAAAAAAAGAACTATAATTGCGTATTTATAATTTATAGATATCGTGTGCAATTTGGAGGCAATTTCTGTAATTGGATATCCAGTAATTAAGAATTCAAAAACATTCTAAAACTCTCATTATACATATATCAAAATTATACAATAATCAAATAGAATATGAATAGTTTTTCAATTGTAAAAAAATTGAAAAGTTTTTTTCAAAGAAAGAAAAGTTTTATTACATAAACAGTCAATTTACAAAAATTCTTATATCTTATTCTAAAATATAAATCTAAAGTTGATTTTTATATAACACTTTTTCCTAAACCAGGATCATTTTCACTAAACAAATCTAAAACGTGTGTAATTTAAGCATCTTTCTAAATCTTTGATTTTTAACATTTTGTCTTCATTGTTAACAAGATTATCTAAATATTTAATCGAAAAACTATCATTATCTGCATTGAAAACATTTCTAACAATATTTTCGAAACGTATTGATCGAATCATTTCTAATTCCTTACACGTTATTTTCTTGTTCTAGTACAAATGATGTTAATATTTTACCCCATATTTAAGTATTGACTTCTTTCCAAGAACAATCAATGCTTACGGACAATTGTCGTTATCAGAGGTAAAATTAAACTTTATTTGTAAATTTGCGAATATGAATTTATTATATTTCTTTAACGTTCCAGAAAAAAATGTTTTTTTTATTGGATTTCAATGTTTATATAAAATATTTATATTACTACTGCTACTATTGACTGTCCATTGACGGACGAACGAATTCTCAAAATAGAACACGTTAAAAATTTCACGAATTTACAAAACAGTGTGTTTTCCATTCGTTGGTCTTCTTGGACAAACACAAATTTACCTTGTAAATATTATAAATTTGAAAGACGCAAGCAATTTTATATATCTATTGGAAAATCCAAATACTACTTATTCTCACCACTACTGCGTCAATGATATGAATTTGTCAGGAATTTGACTCACTTAAATATATATTTGTTTGGCAAAGAGATTATTATAAAAACATAATTATATAGCGCACGTATAAACCAAACATCAAAGGCCATTCAAAAAAAGATTTGTTAAATAAACGTGTGTAAACTTATGTAATTAGTGTGGAGCTGCTACGAAGATTTCCTTTTCTTTTGAAATGTAATTCATTCGCTTTTCAGAGAGCTACAATGGAGGTGTAATAAGAGAAAATATAAATGGAAGATAATTGGTGAAATCTAGTTTATTTTTTCTTCCTGCAATCATTGAAAATTATTTATATAATGATTATACAATGTTATATAATTATTGCAATAAATACTCACAGGAGGAATATTAACTTTGTGGGTCCTGGGCTAACATTATTTGGGGCCCTCGGTTTACAGTGTTTGGGGGCCCTCAGATTTTACTGCTTGGGGGTTCACGACTAAAACTGTTTGTTAAATTCACCAAAGCCACTAAATCCGTCACTGTAAATACACCACTTTTATTTAGTTTATATTTTTATTTCATTTTTAAACATGATAAAATCCCAACTTCTTAACTAGAAACAATAAAACGCGTATATGTAATGTCCTACTTACACAATATTTATAAATTTTATTATTTCACCTTATTGCTAAATGTCAATAAACGTATTTGCTCTAAAAATAAGTCAAGTGACTTTCTCCAAAATTGTTTAAGACTGAAAAAACACCTTATTATATTGATTATGAGTCATATGTTTGTATTAAAGAAAACAGCAACTATTCAATTAAATATTTACATCAAAAAAAAATTATATAAATTTAAAAATATAATTAAAGTAAAAATTCATTTTACAATTAAATAATAACAAAACTATATAATTAAATACTTTACAAAGGACGAAAAGACTGCAGTCGTTTGTATGTTGTTATACAATAAATTTTATTTATTATTACTTTGCAGAAATTTGGGTCTCAAATAAAATGCTAACTTAAATGATGACGGGGAGAATAAATAAGTAGAACCAGTTTCTTTCTCATGAGTATAATGCGAATGAGCGACTTATCAAGATGAAAAAAAAGAGGATACAAGTTGTTATAATGAAATTATTTTAATTATGT